GTGAGATGCTTTCTTAGAAACTTAAATTTATCAGTGTTAGGTGAGGCTATTATCAATCACAGTAAGAACAGGAAAACTGCCTTAAAAATTAAATACCCTATATTAAGCCACTGTTTAAATCAGCTCTAAGTTGTGATGCACTGACATAGTAAACATACTAGGTCAAAAGAAGATACTTTTCATGAAGTCTTTTTCATAATCACAGTTGAGTTTTATGGTGCTCTGAGTGAAATTGTCTCCCATAGACTCGTAGGGAATGGCATTATTGGAGGTGTGGCCTTGTTGGAGAAAGTGTGTCACTGTGGGGTAGGCTTTGAGGTTTCAGAAACATGAAGTAGTCATAGTGGCTGTCTCTTCCTCTTGCCTGCCAATTGGGGTGTAGAACTCTCAGCTACCTCTCCAGCACCGTGTCTGCCTGTGTGCCACCATACTTCCCACAACAATGACAACAGAGTAAACCTCTGAACTGTAAGCTGGTCCCATGTTTTCCTTATAAGAGTTACCATGATTGTGGTGTCTCTTCATAGCAACAGAAACCTTAATAAAGACAAGTAATGTTTTGAGTTATCTTCAAAACAAGATTATGCCAATGGTTTGTCAGTAATTTGAATATGTATTTACTAATGGTGTATTTAATATATAGTTAGTGTAGCTCTTAATAATAATTTTTAAAAATGCAATATTATTACATCATTTCTCCCCTTCCCATTCCTTGATACAACCCTTCCCATGTACCCTCTTGCCTCTCTAAAATTCATGTTATCTTTTAATTAAATTATACATATATATACCTAAATACATCAATAAAACCTACTCAATCCATATAATGTTAGATCTAAGTATATTATCACAAGACTGACCTCTTGGTATTGGGTAACCAACTGGGGTGCTATGCCTTGGGGAACTATCTCTCTCAGTCATGGCATTCTGATGTTGCCCATAGTTCTTTGTCCAGTGTAGAGATGCTGTGAGCTTTTCTCCTTCTATTTTATCATTGCCAATAGTGCTATCATTGTTTAGGTCTTGTTTAAACAGCCAAGTTGATGTGACTTCATGGGTATAGCTTCTCTGACATTTCTTGAAGGCAAAGTCTCACAGCCATCTCCCTGTTCCTCTGGCTAAACCCTTCTGCCCCCTTTTAAATAATTCTGTATTCTTCACCTATTTTCCTTTCAAAACCAAAAGCACACATATTTTTCTGTGCTTGGGTGAAGATAGGTTATTTTTTGAGATCTTATTTTTAAAAAGAAGAAGACTACAAATGAAATTGGCCTTGTGATATTTTTTCTTTGACCTGGAAATGTCTCCCAAAATTTCTTGTGATCTTTGAATCTAACAACTTGCACAATAAGCATCAAGGTTTTCCAAGAAATAGGTCAACAAATGAGAACACCCATCAAAACTGGTGAATATTTACATTGTATATTCAGATGTAAAAATCGTTGCAAAGATTTCGGTCACTGTGATGAATTGGGAGAATATGGGAAACATTAGCCAGACATTAGACAATGAAATACAGACTGATTTCCAGCTGTAGTGGTGTAAAATTGAAAATATTGTGTGTTAAAACCTTAAATATCTGAATCTGAGAAGTACTTAATCACTTTCTTATGGACTCTAAAAACAATGTCACAATGTGATGAAATTATCCAATCTTGATGATTCTCAGAAAGAATGTTAACCAATGGACTCACTGTCCAAGAGACAAACAAACTGACAAATTGTAGATTAATAAAATACTTTGCAATACTTGATAATTTAACTAAAATTCCAACTGTGTCTTTGTTAGGTAAAAGCTTGAACAGATTCTTTTTCCTGAAATAAAAGCTCAGAGTAGGTTTTAATAAGATTAAAAGTGGCCTCTGGAGACGTATAAAAATATTAAAAGGAGGTTGATGAATGTTCGTAAAAACATATAGCATCGCAAAACTAAGCAATAACGTGGAAAGAAGGTAAATTTTGATGTACCATTTTTTGACCAGCAATGGAAGTTGGCTTACTAGGAAAGAGATGAAGGTGGCTCTGGGGACTGTTAGAGGTAAAGGAGCAGAAAAGGAGAAATATTCTCCATGTAGCCTCATGGCTTGCTGTCTAACTTGAAGCAAATAAAATATATTTTGCACACAATCAAGTACATCTTGAACTCTGCTATGCTTGCTCTTTATTAAACCCAATCTTAACTCAGGAAGTTACACATTAAATGTCACTATACAATATAAAAGGTTAAGGCAATAGTTTTTCCTCAATAGTTTCAAGTAACTTAAATTTTATATAAAGGCACTATGTATTTCTATTATTAATTTAATGTTGATTAAACTTAAGAGAAAAACATGACTATTACAAACTCATTTTTGGATGGTATCATCAAGAAAGAAAGGTCTAAACTTTCTTAATAACCATTCTGATATGTATTGGTCAGCTAGCTAAACCCGGTGTGTATGTGGGGGGGGTGTGTGGGTGTGTTGTTGTTGATTTGTTTTCATCTTCAATGCATCCTTTTTAGGAGAGAAGAAACTTGAACTTGGTAGGTAACAAAGTGAAAGAGGATCTGGAAGGAGTTGGTGGAGGAGAAAATGTATGATACAAATATAGTGTACAAAATTCTAAAAGAGACTTAGATATTTTTACAAGTTAAAAAATCATAACCATTTATAATTTCAGGCTTCCAAAAGTCAATAAACAAGTGTAGCAAGTGTCCCTAACCACTGTTTTTAGAATTTCTATAATCCTACTCTTTGCTCTACCCCAAGTTTATCTCCAAATAATATTTTAATGTTTTCTCTACTGAAAAACACATCTCACCTCCTATAGTTTTTATTCCTTCCACTACTGGAGCATCCAGTCCTTTCCTGATGTTCTATATTCCTGGTGACTGCCAGAGAATATGTATTTCTTTCTTAACTAGATATCTATTGCTGTGATAAAACACTGTAACCAAAGCCAACATGGAAAGAAAGGGTATATTTTGCTGTGTGTCATACCCTCCTTTAAGAAAGGATGTCAGGGCAGGAACTAGAACAAGAACCTACAGGTAGGAAATGGAGCAGAGACAATGGAGTGCTGTTCACTGGATTGCTCCTCTTGGCTTGTTATGCTTGTCTTCTTTTAGAGCTCACAACCATCTGCCCAGAGTTGGCATCACCTACTGTAGGATGCACCTTCTAACATTCATTAGGGATCAAGAAAATGTCTTACAGGTGGTATGATAGAGTCATTTTCTCCATTGAGAGTCCTCTCCCAAATAACTCTATCTCCTGTCAAGTTGGAAAGGAAATTAAAACAGGGACCACAGATAATGCCCTAATTTCTGACTATGGGTAAATGGTGAATATTTCTATTTCATCTATTTCCACATAAGCAGAACTCAACACAGAGTGGTGTTTTTTAAAAGGAGTCTTGTCTCTGTGATTCACGAGTTCTAGCCAGTGCTTACCTTACTCCTTTCTCCATACACTAGCTGTTAGATGTGAGTTTCCAAATACAAGAAGATTGAACCATAGCATGAATCTAAGAGTGTAGATCAATAAAGACCTTTATTCAGTCCATGTTTATTATTCAACAGATCATATAATATAGTGTGGTAGGTAAACACTGAGATGCCCTTACTGCCAATGTCCATTGTAAACTTTGTCTTCTTTGATAATAGTTGAACTGCTAGAAATGATGAGAAACCAAGTGAAGGATGATTGCAAATTATGGAACAGATTTTATATTGATGAAAGGAGAGAGTCTGTGTGAGTCTATTCAAATCACAACCATTTAAAAGCAGAGAATTTGATTCATGTACTGATTGAAGAATGTAGAAATACTAAAGTTTGGAGAGAAATTAAAACTGAGAAAATTCTTCATGACAGTCTTTGACACCAGAGGAGCCACATGGGAAAGGATAGGGTAGGTAACTCAACCTTGTAGCCACAAGGGAAAGAATTCTATCGGCAGTAAGAAAGAGCTCTGAAACAAGTCTGTAAACAGAGCCTCTAGACAAGCTCAACTAGAGAGAGATTTTAGCCTGTGCTGCCCATACCAGAGACTCCATGAACTGTTCCTGACTTCAGACTTACAAATCAGTGGGATAATACTGAGTTGATGCTTTGGGCTGCTTAGTTTGTAATACACTCATATTTAGAAGTAAAAAAATGTGATACTCAAGCAATATTAATCTCCTGAGGCAATTTTTCCCAGAATCTTCATTGTTAAGACTTTCCTATTTAACTGTGTATTAACTAGTCTTATTTCAGGAGGTTTAGTAAACAATGTACTTAACACAATGTGTTACTAGCATGCCTTTATGCACAGACATGTATACCTACATGGATGTACATATATAATAATCTGATCAATATTTTTATAAATACAAAACTTTTTGAAACTATGGTAATTATTATTAATTATATTCTCAACCTTAGAGGTAGCTAAGGATCTAAATTAGTAATTCTTTTGGCCAGAAATATCAGCAAGTATATATTTTATAAATGACAAAATTCATTATTTCGTACTTCAGACAGATAGAAATCAGATATCAAGTTGCCAGCACCTTTAGTGTTTGGGGAGATCCTACTGTCTGACTTAAAGTTGATGCCTCTTGATGAATTGGTCATTGATAAAGAAGGCAGAAGAGTTTCCAGATGAATTTTTCTATGGGGCATCAATTCCACTATAAGGTCACCATCTCCCAAATATCCCTTCATCCTAGATCTATACCTTGAGGGTTACGATTTTAGCATATCACTTTTGAGGGGATACAAACGTGAAGAGATATATAAGTTATCAAAGTGCTATGAATGAGACAGTGTTCTGCCCTAAATGGAAAATCAGTCATGAATCTCCACATATAACATCAAGGCTCAAGAACATTGAAGAAGAAGAGATGGAAAAAATATAAGAGCCAAAAAATAGGCGTGGGTGTTGTGAAATGCTGTCCTCTAGACCCAATTCGGTCATAGCACTCCTAAAACCACAGCTTCTTTGTTTATCTGGGCAAAACCAAGTCAGTGTTCGCTGCAGACATGGAGTAAATGATCTCCAATCCCCAACAAATGCTGAGGAGCTACTGCCAGTGCATAGTGCCTGGGAGACAGACAAGCATTCCTTGGTGAGGACGTGATTTCTGCTAACTTTTCCATCCTCTAGTGAATGGTATCATACCTATGAATATGTGGGTAATACTAACTAGACATACTGACTTGGGGGGGGAGGAGAGAGAGAGAGAGACAGAGAGAGAGAGAGAGAGCACTGAACTGAGGACACATAGTAGGATGGTAGGAGGGAGGGTGGAAATGGGAAAGAGATATGATCATAATTCATTGAACCCGTGTTTGAAATTCTCAAAAATGAAGAAAACTTAAAAAGAACAAAGTCACTTCCCACTGTTAATTTTAAATTTTAAAACATGACTGTTATCAATAAAACTGCTATTTATATGAACCTAAAAGGATTAACATGTAAAAGTCTAAATAAAAAAATACATAGCTTTTTTATAATTCCTCAAAATCAATTGTTTCTGTAGTAAATACTGATAGATACAAGGCATTTAAACAAAGTCTTTGAGCTTTTAGTATAGTTTAAGAGTAAAAGACAACTCTAAGACCAAAATATTTAGTAACTTAGTACATATGCCTGGGGTTAGTGTGTAGTTTAGTGGTAATGCTGTGCTTAAGACCCTAGGTTTATTACACAGCAAAGCACACACAGAGACACCCCCCCACACACACACACACAGAGCCCCCCACACACAATTTCTAATGTAAATGTTCTCTTTTGGGAGACTTTTTAAATTATTTCAGGCACGGTTGAAACACACTTAATACTTAACTAGTTATTTATTTTGTGACTGTGAATTCCTACAAGTTCTATTTTAAAGAATGTCAGCACTATGTAGAATTTAATCTGTAAAACTTAATCCTGTAGTTCCAGTTTGGAGAGTGAGTGTAAGAATATTAAAGGTTCCTATGAAACAGGAAAGATGTTTTATATCCACTTTAATGAAGGCAGAGTAAGAAATTTTTATCTTTGTAAAAAAAAGCCATAGTGGTCATTCAGCATATGAAATATGGTGCCTTGTTTATATTGTATTCCAACAGTGAGATGGGAAATATTCTGTTCCAAGCACCAACCTATTGACCAAGATAAAAACTAACAACTATTCAGAATATTAGTTTACTTAAAAATACATGAGATTATTTGTGCAAAAAAACCATTAATACATGTGTTATTTTCAGTGTACTATATAAGTATGGTAATAAAACTTGGATTATTCTACATGAAGAGAATAGAAGAGAAAAGTATTTGTAGTGTGCTTTAGTAAGTATGCCGCTTTGTTGTTTTGTTAACCTGACACAGTCTAGAGTCAATGGGGCAAAGGGAGCTCAGCTGAAGAACTGCCTTCAACAGACTGAGCTCTGGGAATGTCTATGGTGGATTGTCTCCACTGATGGTCTGGAATGAGTCTTTTTCCGTCCTGCCAGCCAGCTCTCAAATAGTGACCTGAAGATTTTTATTAATTATGAAAGTTCAGCCTTAGCTTGGGTTTGTCCCACTATCTGTTATAACTTAAATTAATCTGATTCTATTAATCTATGTTTTACCACGTGATTTTTTTTTAACCTTTCTTTCATTCTGTACATCTGACTCATGCCACATCTCATTAGAGTCTCTGCCTTTCTTCTTCCCAGAGTCTTCTCTATCCCTGGAAACCCTTCCTACCTCCTTCCTGCCAAGCTATTGGCCATTCAGCTCTTTATTAAACCAATCAGAAGGTACCTTGGCACAGACACATTTTCACAGTGTAAATAAATATTCCACAACAATGACTGATTTGAGGTGTCAAGCCCACTGTGGGTGGCACTACCCTAGGCAGGAGGAACTTGCCATAAAAGAAATCTACTTGAACATGAGCCTCAGAATAAGCCATCAAGCAGCATTTTATAGTTTCTGATGAAAGATTTTGCCTCAAGTTCCTGCCCTGTCTTCCAGTAATGATGAATCGTAATCACAAGTGTAAAATTAAAATAGGTCTTTTTCTACCCAAGTTGCTTTTGGTCATATCACAGCAGCATAGAAAAGTAAAGAGAACAATAAGAAAAGCAGAGGCGGACATCTCTACTGTTGTCAGTGGCTTACCTTATTATTTCATCGGCATAAATACCACATTTCTTTTTTCTCTGAATAACATCATGTAAAAGGCACCCATATTTGTCTTTTATATCAGTTAAAATTTAAGAGATATTTTGGAAAGGAAATTTTGGATAATGTTCAAAAATAGCACTTTTACAAAGTTTTCTGGCAAATAATGAGATTTCAAATGTATTTTTCAGTTTTAGACTGGCAATTGCTGCCTAGCAGATTTTTTTAAACCAGTAAACCACAAGTAAACTGTACAGATGACAAATTCAAAAGTTCATCACTTTTCTTTATCTAATAGTCTATTGTTGGTACAAGAAAAAAAAAGTGGCTGACGTATTTTTGAACAGTGATAACATTTTGAGAAAATGAGATGTTCAATTATCTTTACATCTAAAATTCTACTCAGGGTAGAAAACAACACACCAGCAGCAATGCTCCTTGTAGTATGTATGTTAATTCAATGCTCAAATCACAATGTAACACAGCCAACACATACATAAATCACTAAGAGAATACAATTTCCCCCAAATAATTTATACCAAGCGTTTCTTAACAAGTCATATTTACTTAAAAGCTGAGCTTTTGAAAATGTTTCTGGTGTTCTAAACCTTCAATACAGATTTATAAATTTGCTGTTAATTACCTTTCCAGATACTTTGACAAAACGTTTGAGATAATTACATTATATAAAGTAGTATTTTATTTTGACCCTTGGATTTGGAGATTTCAGTCTATCATGAGTTGGCCCCATTGCCTTAGACCTGAGACCAACTGATGCTACCAACAGAAGCCCATGGCAAAGGAGCTTACCTACTGCCAGCCAGGCAACATTGAGAGAGAGACACAAAGAGGATATGGTTACAACCCCAATAAACTCCATCCAAGGTAAGGCCCCAACAGCCTCACTTCCCTCCACTAGACACAATTGCTGAAGCTTCTGCCAGGTCCCACAAGCACCACTGAAAAGAGAAGAAGACACTGTCATGTGTCTGCTGTTGGACATCTGAAATCTGAACTGTAACATACAATCCGAAAGACAGCTTTTCTTAAGCCCAGTTCATCAGTACCATCAAATTGTACTCCCCAACAATATTCCCAGATCTAGGTGTTCAGTTGTGTTGTGTTGTTTGTGTGTTGTTCTGTCCTGTCGTTGTGGCATAAAGATGTTAAATTTAAGAAGTCCAAATTTCTTTACATAAAAACCCTTTGACAAAGCCGGGCAGTGATGCCTCACACCTTTAATCCCAGTACTCAAGAGGCAGAGGCAGACAGATCTCTTTCTGTGAGTTTAAGGCCAGCCTGTTCTACAGATTTAGTTCCAGGACAGACTCCATAGCTACAGAGAAACCCTGTCTTGAAAAACAAAAGCAAACAAACAAAAAGCCTTTGACAAATATCATAGTCCCATCCTGTTTTAACCAAGAACCATTAACTGTGACGACCTTCAGTCCACTGAAGCATTATGTGAGTCAGGATATCTCAGTGGTTTCAGATATGCAATTATTAAGCAAAAACAGACAAACATTAGTATCAACGTGCTTTGTCTAGGAAAGCAGGTCATCTCCATACCTTGTCAGTCGACACTCAAATACATCACCTTAAGGCCTAACCTTCTGTCTTAGTTAGGGTTACGAGTACTGCGATAAAACACCATGACAACTTGGAGAGGAATTGGTTTATTTAGCTTACACTTCCACAGCACAGTTCATCATCAAAGGAAGTCAGGGAAGAAACTCAAGCAGAACAGGAACCTGGAAGCTGGAGCTGATGCAGAAACCATGGAGGAGTGCTGCTTTCTCGTTTACTCCTCAAGGCTTGATGAGCCTGCTTTCTTATAAAACCCAGGACCACCTGCCCAGGGATGGCACCACCCACAGTGGACTGGGCCTTCCCACATCAACCACTAATTAACAAAATGCCTTACAGGCTTGCCTATAGCCCAATCTTATGGAGATGTTTTCTTAATTGGGCTCCCTCGTCTCAGATGTCTTTAGTTTATATCAAGTTAACAAAACTATCCAGCACACTATCCATGTTATAATTTAATATGCATTCAATCTAACCTTTAAGTACTCATTGTCTTCAATAATACTAACATTTTAAAATTCTAAACTCACTTAATTTTAAGCTCCTACAAAATAAAATATAATATGCATGTATAAAATGTTCAAAGAGTAAATTAAATTTTTAAAAACCTAATGAGAGTTACATTCATCCCACCTACCATCCCAGAGACAACATTCTAGGTCCAAAAAAAGGAACTGAGCACACACACACACACACACACACACACACACACACACACACACAATGGATGGTTACATCAAAGCAAGACCAAGGTTCAGCGGGGCAAATGCCTAATCTTCCAGCTCCAAGTCTAGCCTTGGGGTTCAGACTGCAACATTCCAGGTTCTTAATGGGTTATCTTGCCCTACGTTTCTGTCTTTAGCCTCTACAGTATGTAAAGATTTGCTCCTAAACCAGAAAGTGGTGGCACATACCTTTAATCGCAGCACTCAGGAGGCATGGCCAGGCATATATCTGTGAATTCAAGGCCAGCCTGGTCTACAAGAGCTATTTCCAGGACAGGCTCAAAAGATACAGAGAAACCCTGTCTCAAAAAATCTAAATAAATAAATAAAGAGTTACTCCTAATCTAGCTTTGCTGTGTGTCTACAGCGATGGACGGTAGACCTTTTACAGTCCTGGGATTTCAGTATCCCAAGGTCTATGGTGAAATTGAGGTTTTACCTACATAACTTTACACAGTGGCCTCTCAGGACTTTCTTCAGGGACTCAGACTATGCAGCACTGATGTCTTTTTAAGGAAGCTAATGTTCTTAACAATTGCTGCTGCTTTCCTTTCTGTCGCCCCCCCGCTTCATGTTAAATGATAAGTTTACTCGCAATGCCCTTCCACTGTCAAAATCGTCATCATCATCATCTTCATCATCATCATCATCATCATCA